CCTCTCTCCTCTCCTCTCTCCTCTCCTCTCCTCTCCTCTCCTCTCCTCTCCTCTCCTCCCCTAGCTCCCTCCTACCCCTCATAGGAACTTCTTGTTGTACCTCCCAGGCAACCTTGTCTCCTGCTTAAGTGAAAAAAAACTTTTTTCCGTACTGTCCCTGTTCATTTCACTCCTCAGTAAGACATTGACCACCTGACTAGCACACCCAACACTTCACTGCACCATTGACCAGAGGCTAATTTAAAAGCCAGATTTTGAACCTTGTTTTTTCAAATTAACTTAAAGACTCGTTGATATATCCCACTAATCAATTGCTGTCTCCGATAACAGGTTTCCCACCTCGCAATCATGGAAGACGGAAGAGGCGGCTGGAGGAGACAGACATCCACACCAGAACGTCTGATCCATCTGCACTATACTAGCAGACTGTTTGAAAAGGTTTAAGCCAAAAAAAATCATCTCAGAAGTTCTAAGAAAATACCTCCCTGACATTGAAACCCTCCTGGACTCTTTCACCTTTGGATGGACCTATGATGCACACATCTCTCAGAAACTCTATAAACCCTCTGCAGTTTTTCAAGACTTCGACCTCCTCTCATGGTATGAAGGACAACCACCACGATGTTTTTGTCAACAAGACAGGTTCTCCTCTTACGCCCAACACAGTTTCGACGGTAATTTACCACCACACGTCGTCACTCTGGACCTCAACATTGTCAGAAACCCTGTGCTCAGGAAGCAACTTACAATGGGAATGAATCACATCCCCCTCAGGACGTACAAAGTCACAGATGTCCTAAATGAAATGACCAAGACACTCTCCCTCACCTTGGATTACCTCTGCCAAGACGGGTGTCACATCACTCAAGAACTGAGAGAGGTCTCCCACACACATCTCAACACCCTCATCAGACGCACCGCCTCACACGATCTCCGGTCCTTCCCTGGAAACAACCACGCCCTGCAAAAAGAAATAGAATTCCTGACAGAGCACTTCTATGTTTCTGGTACAGATAAAGCACCAAACACCCCGTCTATCACCTGCATCAACTATATCAGGTTCCTCGCACTCCAAAGACTTACAGGGAATGATTTCACACCCTGCGATACCACTGCCTTTGACCTGGTAAATCACCTCGACTATCAGATCACCACTAACTTCCTCGTCTGCCCTATCCAAAACAAAAATCTTCCTTACCTTATGGCTATCTACAAAAAACACAAAAACTCCTTCCGGTGGCTGACAAATGCTGCCAACGTCATTTTCCCCCCCCTTGCGGACATCTGCGCTTCCGCCCTAAAAACACTTTCCGAGATGGTGAAAAAGCACTGTGGCCACCTCACAGAAAGGACCGAGGAAGAAACTGGCTGCAGAGTTCCTTTTTGGTGGATCGTAGACTCGGTCTCCGACTATGTTTATAACCTTCCCCCCCAGATACACACACTGTTCTCAGCAGACATCACTCGCTGCTATGAGACCATCCCAACAGATAACACACCAGATGGGCTCCCCAGCACTGTTAGATTTTTTATTGACTTAGCCTTTGGACAGGCAAGAAAAACATTAGGTAGGAATGCAAGGCTAACATGTAAAATCCGTGAAACGGAAAAAGAAATCAAAGTTTTCACGGAATGGACTGCTACTCCTTCCCCTGACCAAGTCACCCTTTCTCCCAAACTCATCACAATCATGAACAATTGGCTAATCAACAATGCCTTTACCTCGCTAGGAGGGCTTATTTGGCGGCAGGTGTTAGGAATACCTATGGGGCTCAGTTGTTCCCCAATCTGGTGCAACATTTACTTTTTTCATTTCGAATACAAATTCATGAGAAAACTCAAGCAACGCCCTAACAGACACCTACTTCCCCTATTCCAGCATACGTTCAGATACTTTGATGACCTCAATTCAATAAACAACCCCAGAATAGTAGATTTCTTGAATCCTGCAGTCAATAATAGGAATAGCAAATATTTTCTCTACCCACTGGAATACGTCACCCTTGTTGAACAGACCACAGTGCATGCCTCCTCAGATAATGAACGAATGGGCATAAAAGCCAACTTCCTCAATGCAACCATCGAAATCATGAATCACCAACAGGGCACATACAAAACCACAAAGTTTGACAAAAGGGAGGAACTTGACTTTCCAATCACCCGCTTCATCAAGTACCACTCCAACAGACCGGTCAACCAGTCACTCAAAATCCTTATACCACAGATTATAAATATAATGACTATCACAACAGAACAGGAAGATGCTGTGACTGACATCCGCAACACTGTACAGACCATGGTTAACAATGGATTCAGCGCTCACAGATGCCTGAATATTGTCAAATCCATCCTAAAAAACCCCGGGCAATACCAGCCCTTTCGCTGTAACCCCGGTCTGGTTCTAAATCTGCTAACTAACCAAGTGTAGTATGTGTGTGTAAACCAAAAACCCATTTTGGTTTGGTTCGGATGGCGGACAACCCTGAAAGGGGGCTGGTTCGTCATCCGAACCACGCCCCCTCCAGGCTCCCCATTTCGAGGGATTGAGGGAGGGACACACACACACACACACACACACACACACACACACACACACACACACACACACACACACACACACACATACAAACCATAGAAGACAATATAAAGAACGAAAAACTCTTCTTTTTTATAAAAAAAAGGGGGGCCAGAAAGTGCAGAAAACATATATAAGAATAGATGCAAGAATTATTAAAAACTAAAAAATAATAAATCTTCACTAAGAGAATGGAATAAACTTTGAAGATACCCAACACGAAMCCCCCCCCCATACGGTCTGCTGGTTTGTAACCCAGCCTTGAAAACTAACCCCCTCCMAAAAAAACCCAAGTACCCCTGCACATAATTAACCCAAGGAATACCTCTTGCTACGCACTGCATTCCTCAGAGCACCCGACACCTGCACTTACAACCCCCCCCCCCTCCAAAATAGATGCAGCGCATCTCGACACGGCCAAACGAGAAAACGCCTCCTCGGTCTGGCCCCGATGACAACAAGACAAAACCCGCAC